ACCTGTGTGAGAGACCTGGAATAAGCCCCTTGCTCCTGGCTTCAGATCGGCTCAGTTCTGGTCATTGGCAGCCACTTGGGGAATGAACCGTGGATAGATCTTCCTCTTCTCTGTGTATCTGCCTTTTCAATAAAAATAATAAATAAGTCTTTAAAAAATACATATTTATGAAAATACTTGCTCAGTATTTTTTATTATTTATTTATTTATTTCTGAGGCAGACAGAGCCTCCATTCACTCATTCACTCACCAAATGTTCACCATATGCCAGGGCTGGGCCAGAGTGAAGCAAGGAATATGGAAGCCTGTTTGGGTCTCCCACTAGGGGGAGCAGGAGCCAAAAGTTGCAGCCCGGATCTGCTTCCTCCCTGGCCACACACTAACAGGCAGTTGGAATCGGGAAGCCAACCCAAGCAGACTGTTAGGGGATGTAAGTGTATGAACCTTTCACTAGGCCAGATGTCCACCCCTGCTCCACGTGATTCAAGATAGTGTTCGTTTTCTTTGGATTTCATACCAACTTACTAGGCTTAAGTGTTTAATTCTGAGATAGAACATTTTAGCTATTAAAAATTTACTGTAACCTAAAATAAGTTCAGTGTACTCTTAATATTTAAGTACATATGATCTATGGTGAACTTGAATTCTTTCTTACCTTATCCCTCTCCCTTTCCTTCTTGCCCTCAATCAGCTATATATGTATTGTCTCATTTAAATCTCACAATCCTAAGGTTTAAGATATATCAAATCCAGATGTGAACATACAATGCAATAATGCAATATGCTTCTCTACTTTCAAATCAAAGGTAGACTCTCAATGAAACTGTTAAATATATCTTGACAATAGGATGCTGGACTTTGCCATTGTCCATGCCTGCAATGTCAGGATATACTTAAATAGCAGAATGGTGAACTTAGGATGGTTTATGAAGGACTGTACTAGTGTAATAATGTGGGGGGAATAAATGGAGGAGGAGAGGCTTTGGAGAGGGGGCAGGGAAAGTCCCAGAGCCTATGGAACTGAATCATTAAAAAATAAGAGATGTATCAAATCCACATTTTGATCCAGTGCCAAATGGCCAGATGTTAAAGCAGTATTTTTACAAGGCCAAGTTAAATATTGCTAACATGGTAGGATGATACTTTGGAATCCAAGGATGACATTTAATTTTTTAATTTAATTTTAGTTATGTATTTGGCATTAGTGAGGGATTGGTAATTTCCCTACAGTGACAGTTGTTATTTTGCACCTATACTGAGTATTGATAAAAAGTCTACATATTTATTCACTTTAATTTTATTGCCATGTTCATAGCCGGACCATGATTTCTAATAAAATTTTATAGTTATTCTGTAGGAGGAGCATTGTATTTAGGATACAAAATTTAGGTAAATCTTAAAGGTCTTAGTCTTTGTAAACAGTCCTTTTCAATAAGCTTAAGTCTCTAGGCTCAAAATCAGAAGGGTGGGCATTTGGCTAACTTTGGACTCCTGCATTCTCTGTGTCAGAGAACCTGGCTCAAGGCCCAGCTCCACTCCTAATTCCAGCTTTCTGGGACGGAGCATGTGATAACTCGTAAATTGGATCCCTGGCACCTATGTGGGAGACTTAGATTAAGTTCCTGGTTCCCAGCCACAGCCTGGATCTGCCCCAGCTATTGCAATCATTTGGAGAGTGAAGCAATTTCAAAAAGGATTTTTTCTTTCTAAACCTGTCTAGTTAAAGCATTATGTGTTCTTATTAACTGTGTGCAAGTCTGTTTCCCTATTTAATTTTTTAAGACTTGGAGTTGCACTAGAGTTTGGTTTTCACAAGCCTCACTGAAAATTCCAGCATTTTATATTCTTTTTACATTTAAAAAAAATGTTTATTTTTTATGTTTACATAGTTTATCAGAGTAATTTGAGGGTTGGGGAAAGTGGGTAAGACCCTTGTTTCCAAATTTTGTTTTCTTTTTCCTGTATCTGGGGGAAGGGCAGAGATAAGGGAAGAAGTCACACCCAGCGTCCCAGCTGCTCCAGTACCCAGGGATGGAGAATGGCCATCTGATATCAACCCAGAGTCCCCAAGTGGAACATGTTCTGAGTGCTCTATTTAAGTAGTTTTAATAGTTCTGAAATGCTGTCAAATTCTAATCCAAGGATGAGGAAATCCTTCCAATGTCCATTGACTGACATAGTCGACCTTCGATTCTCCATTTGCCCAGATTTTTGCTATTATTGCTTGCTTGGGGTAGCTGTCCAATTTGTTCTGTACTCCTTCCTTTGCTATGGTACCAGATGTCCTCTGCAGGCCCCAGTGGACTGCAATATCCTTCATGTGCATCTGGGCCTGCCATCTACGGCTCTTGTTTTTTCCACTGAGGAGGCCCAGTTGTGACACATGCACTTTACGATCAGACCACCAATCCTGAATGTGGGCTCTCATGTCCCTGGTGTTCCTACCTGTGCCATCTTCAAGACCCCCTGAAACTGCACACACAAGCCCCCACAAGCATGCCACTGGGCAGTCAGTGAGGACCCCCATACCTAGGACTCACACCTGGTGCCACTTCATAACCCACCATGCAGGTGGACCTAAAAACCCAGGCCAGATAACCCACTGGACCCCCTGGTGCTCCAGGGCTCACAGACCCAGCACCTTCCACACAGCAGGCCTAAGGACCCAGGCCAGGAAATCCAGGCCCTGCCAGATTCCACCCTCCCCACCCCCTCTCCTGAGGCTCACAGACCCAGCACCCCCTCCACCCCATCTTTAGAAAAAAAAAATAATAGAAGAGGCTAAGCAACTATGCTGGCACAGTGGTGTGGTTAACACAGATTTGGCATTAACCAGGCCCAGAATGCCCTCCAGCTATTAGCTGCTTTTTTCCCAGCAGTGTAACACTTGCCTAGGTACATTGCAACCTAGGCTATTACCCTCAGCTAGGAAACATTTTATATTCTTGTAACATGTTGATTTATCCTTTTTTTTAAAAAGATTTGTTAATTTATTGGAAAGTCAGATATATAGCAAGGAGGAGAGACAGAGAGGAAGATCTTCTGTCCGATGATTCACTCCCCAATGAGTGCAACGGCCAATGCTATGCTGATCCGAAGCCAGGAGCCAGGAACCTCTTCCAGGTCTCCCACGCGGGTGCAGGGTCCCAAAGCTTTGGGCCGTCCTCGACTGCTTTCCCAGGCCACAAGCAGGGAGCTGGATGGGAAGTGGAGCAGCCAGGATTAGAACCAGCACCCATATGGGATTCCGGCACATTCAAGGCGAGGACTTTAGCTGCTAGGCCACGCTGCCAGGCCCATGTTGATTTATCCTTAAGTCATTCAGTAAAATACAACTGTATGCAAGATTTATAATCTAAGTCATGCCTAGAATGTCTAAAAGTAGTTATTAAAATCAGTATTAAGAGCCTGGCGTGGTAGCTTAGTGGCTAAATTCCTCGCCTTGCACATGCCAGGATCCCATATGGGCGCTGGTTCTATCCCGATGGCCCCACTTCCCATCCAGCTCCCCACTTGAGGCCTGGGAAAGTAGTTGAGGATGGCCCAAAGTCTTGGAACCCTGTACCCGCGTGGGAGACTCGGAAGAGGCTCTGATCGGCTCAGCAGATGGAAGATCTTTCTCTGTATATCTCACTTTCCAATAAAAATAGATCTTTTAGAATATATATATAACGAGTATTCCGGTGTTAATATAGACATTTAATCCAGTGATGTGTATTATTTATATTACTGGTATATAAATGAGAGTAATTTATATGATCATATGGTCATCAGTCAAGCATATGTGTAGACATACTGTGTGGCCTTCTGAAGGCCAAGACCAAAGCTGAAGATAATGTTAGTTGAATACTAAATGTATTATACTTTAATGATTCCATATTTTTTTTGTTTGGGAATGTTAATTGTTAGAGATGAGGTAATTTACATAAAATTTCCCTGATTACTACAATAGATTTTTAGGCCAGCTAGCCTAAACCTCTCTTTTGTCTTTGTAAATTGTGAAGACCTTAAAAAAAAAAGTTGTGTTTCACATGGTGACATTGTTTTCTGAATAAATGTAATTTCTCTGTTTTGCCCTCTTCCCTTCATTCTTCTTTAGTAAAAGCCAGGTTAGAGAAGAGATTTAGAAATGAGTGTCACTTTCTTTTCACTGATAGCACTATTTAAACAAACACTTGACCCTAAAGCATTGATCATTTGGAGCCTGATAGAAAATAGAGAATCTTTTTCTGGGACTGCAGTGGATAAACTGTTGGAAATCCATAAGCTTGATGCAGTGAAGCGGTGCTAAATTATTCCTCTATTGATTTAAATGTCCTTAATTCAATCCTATGTGAGCATATCTATGATAGACTGTGGTAATTAGAGCATTGGTCTGTCAAAAATGATATGAAATTTAAGATATAAAGTTTAAATGTTGAGATACTGAGGGAACAAGAAGTCCAGACCCGGCAAGGTAGACTAACAGTTAAAGTCCTTGCCTTGAACACACCGCTGGGATCCCATGTGGGCTCCAGTTCTAATCCCTGCAGCCCCACTTCCCATCCAGCTCCCTGCTTGTGGCCTGGGAAAGCAGTCGAGGATGGCCCAAAGCCTTGGGACCCTGCACCTGTGTGAAAGACCTGGAGGAAGCTCATGGCTCCTGGCTTCAAATTGGCTCAGGTCTGGCTGTTGCAACTCCTTGGGGAGTGAACCAGAGGATAGAAGATCTTCCTCTCTGTCTCTCCTCCTCTCTATACATCTGACTTAGCAATAAAAATAAATAAATCTTTTTAAAAATTGTACTTCTGAAATTTTATTTATGTGTTCATTTGTGAGCTCTGCATCCACCCCTCCTCCCCCCATTTTTATAGTGGTGAGCTAGTATGAGGGTTTGTAATTGTTTGCTAATACAAAAATAGAAGTTATTCTTCAGGAGTGTCATTTTGGTTGAACAAATATAAAATGGAATATGTCCTGTTCTGTGTAATATTTTAAATCACTTTTCTTGTTCTTTCAAGATATGCTGTGATAGCTTTTGGATGTGCCAGCTGTCCAAAATTAACTTGTGGACGGGAAGGCTGTGGAACAGAGTTTTGCTACCACTGTAAGCAGATTTGGCACCCCAACCAGACCTGTGATGCTGCCCGACAAGAAAGAGCCCAGAGTTTACGTTTGAGAACGATACGGTCTTCATCTGTTAGTTACAGTCAAGAGTCTGGAGCTGCAGGTATTGAAGCCTGATTTATTCTGATGCAGCATTTAAGACTGCAAAACAATAATCCCTTTAACTGTAAAAAGTTTCATCTGTTCTCACTATTTTCCGAAGTGTTTTATGCTTTAAGTGCATTTCTGTTCTCAAAGAATTCTCATTCTTTCCTGTGGACAACAATGATTTTGAGATTGGAAGTATTTTACTGTGCTCGCTTCGGCAGCACATATACTAAAACTGGAACTATTTTACTGTCCAAAGAAAGGAAATGTCATGATGATTACATATTTGGTATCAACAGATCATCTAAAATTGTTGCTTATAAATGTGTCTTATGCAAAACACAGGAAATATTTTCTAATAAAGTGAAAGTATGAGCATATATTATCTTTAGGCTATTCCTAACTTAATAAATGTCACAAAATTGTAAAAGGAGATTCTAGCAGTGTTTCTTGGTTCCTTTTCCTTGGTTTTCCAGTGTTTCAGTGTTTTCCTTTTAAAAACTTTATGAAATACATTTTTTTAAAATTTACAAATGTCTTGTTCAATACTAGGATCAAACGTGTAAAAATAATACCTTAGAAGGATACTGAAAACTTTTAACTATCTTTGGTCAGGAATTTTAAGATTTCCTGCACAGTCTGTGCGTAAGCATTGTTAACACCTCATAACTCTCAGAATTTAAAAAATATGGATATCCTAATGTCCTTTGAAAATTCAACAAGTAAGCATTTTGTGTTGACAAAATTTTCGTTTTTTATTAGAATTTCAGTACTATTTAAAAAGGTTTTCTCATTGATGAATGGAAAAAAATCTGGAAAAAAGTTATTAAAATAATTAACATTCATAGCAGTAGTGTGTTAAGGTAGTTAGACATTTTGTTACTAAAATAGTCTTGCTTTTAACATAGAAAAGCCAATATTTAATATTTCATTTCCTGCAAGTGGATTTTCACACCAAATGCTGATTGCCTTGCTTCTGTTTCTTCTTAAGACTTGGATGAGTGTCAAAGGTGTTGGTCCAGAAGCACATAATAAAAAATTAAAATTTTGAACAACACTTCTCACAGACTTATATAAAGAGAGAAGGTTAATATTTTAGATGCAAAATTAGATATCCTGATTTTCTTCATTTCTCATTGTGATATATTGAAAAATATGTTTCACTTTTATTATTACTGCAACAACTGGCTGACTTTTTCTAACTGGACACTGAAGAGAAATGTGCAGTTATGGTTGTAAAGTACATTAAGCAATTTGTACTATTTATATCTGTAAACATTGTCATGTCCATGAGTCTCTCTTAGACAATTCTAGGAGATTTATGCATTTGGAGTGACGTTTTAAATGAACCATATATTTTATGTTTATTACTAAATGCTCTTTTATAAAAATGTGATGTTTCGTTGGCTCCCTGCTTCCACTTCTGTTCCTTACCATCTCCATCCTAAATGATTCACTGTATATGGAAACATAGTGATTTGTAACCTGTTGTTTTTTCTTACTGTGACAGTGGCCCATATTTTAGCAGTAAACAGAAATATAGTAATCAAGGAAGACAAAAAGTGTGAGCATTTTAAATGAGAATGGGCAGCTTTTTTTTTTTTATTACCAAGAAACAATTTTATTTGATGCTTGGAATACAAGGTCAGTTGATCATCTAGTCAGTAAAGCACTTTTCTTTAGGATTTTGCATTATGAGACTATTTTGTGAGAAATTCACAGTATGCACCCTAAGGTGTTTTGTTTTGTTTTGTTTCTTTTTTTTTTTTTAAAGATTTATTTTTATTATTTTTTCATTGGAAAGGCGGATATACAGAGAGGAGAGACAGAGAGGAAGATCTTCCGTCCGATGATTCACTCCCCAAGTGAGCGCAACGGGCCGATACTATGCCGATCCGAAGCCAGGAGCCTCTTCTGGGTCTCCCACGCGGGTACAGGTTCCCAAAGCTTTGGGCCGTCCTGGACTGCTTTCCCGGGCCACAGGCAGGGAGCTGGAAGGGAAGCGGGGCTGCCGGGATTAGAACCGGCGCCCATATGGGATCCCGGGCGTGCAAGGCGAGGACCTTTAACCACTTGCGCCACCGCGCCGGGCCCTTGTTTTGTTTCTAATCTTTTGAAGAAAGAGGCAGTGCAAACAAAATAGCCTTTCACAGATGAATATACAGAAAATGAAAACTTGGGTGGTACAGTTACATAAAGAGACCTATAAAAAAACCCTCACTTGTGTTAATTTTCCTAACATACCACTGCTCTGTGATTTTGGAAGTATAAGAATAAGTGAGAGTGATGCCTTTAAATTCCAAAGATGGTGTGGATCGGAATCAAAGCTTGCGTCTTTTTACCCTCCACCTAGAGATTATCAACTACTTAAATATATTTTTGAATAAAGAAGCTTATCAATTACTGTGCAGCTTAAGCCAAAAGGATTATTTCTTTAATTTGATGAACTAAATGTTGTATGAGGTGTGGTTCATTTAAAATGTCGCTCCATACTTATAAATCTGCTAGACGTTGTCTAAGAGAGTCTCATGGACATAGCAGTCATTACTTACAGATAAATAATCTTTATTTAATGTAGTAATTTGTGATACAGTTGATAATCTTGGCTTCTGATTTTTAGATGGGTTTTATGTAATGAACCTCTCTGTGTTCTTAATAGCTGATGATATAAAGCCATGTCCACGATGTGCTGCTTATATAATAAAGATGAATGATGGGAGCTGTAATCACATGACATGTGCTGTCTGTGGTTGTGAATTTTGTTGGTTATGTATGAAAGAAATCTCAGATTTACATTATCTAAGGTAAGTCTATAAAAGGAGCTATTTATAAGTGAATATGATTTTACAGTTTGGGATAGTCAGAAACTTATAATGTAAACTTAAAAGGAACTAAATCATTATGCTGCTCCTTTGGAATCAATAACTAGTCAAAATAGGAAATAGAGGCTTCCTTTTCCTCTTTTGTTAAACTTGAATGCTAGTATTTGATTTTCTTAAATTCTCAAAAGTAGAAATTTGTACTATTTATATCAAAAGTAGGCCACAAAATATCTTTCTGATACAGTCAAATTATTGCATGCCTGTAACAGGAGTAAAATAAACATGTTTCATCAATTTATCCTTTAAAAAGCAATCTGTTGTTTTGAAGGTAAGGAAGGATAAGGCATAAAACTTTTTAACCTGAATCCCATTTACCGTTATTCTGTTACACAGTTTTTATGGTTCTCCATTTAATTTTGGCTTTTATTGAACTCAGAATTTGAAAGGGATAAAAATAGTACAAAACTTTCCAGTTATTTCTTTAATGCACTAATTTGTGAAGATTTGTACCAGTTGCTTTATGTAATTTTTTCATTAGTCCATCAGGATGTACGTTTTGGGGAAAGAAACCCTGGAGCCGAAAGAAGAAAATATTGTGGCAACTGGGAACACTTGTTGGTGCTCCTGTAGGAATTGCTTTAATAGCTGGCATTGCTATCCCTGCAATGATTATTGGCATTCCCGTGTATGTGGGCCGTAAGGTAAAGGCATACTTCCTTGTTACTTCATACTGTCCCTTGCTTTATTTTTCATTTTTTTGTTTTTAGACAAAGATTATTGCATTTTCTTCAATATAGATCATTTACTGTTTTTTCATAATACATTCTCAGTGTTTGGCAAGCTTATGTATGGGAAAAACAGATTTGCTTCAGAATTATCTGAATCTGGAAACTTCAGTACATTTTTATTGTGGTAACATCTATAAAGTAGTAACACATACACACAGAGCAAACTCCTATCAAGTGTATGTGTGTTTGTGTCATTTCTTCAAACATACTCAAAGGGTTGCACATTGATGAGTTAATTTTCCATTGAAATAGCATTCTGTGGCGGTCAGGAATACCTAAGTATAAATAGATAAAGTATACAAAAACTGAGGCTTCATTTACAATTTTAATAAAATAGAAAAGGTGACAAAACGAAAGTTGAACCAAAAATAGAAAGATCAGTTGGTCTCTGTAATTTGATGTTTGGGGATGCAAAATTTTCTGAAAGACTTCTTTCTCTTGGAAACCTGCCTTTGCAAATCTATCAGTTTGTAGCATTGGCTTTTGGCTTTTCTGTGCTTGGGTGCTAGTTTTCTAAGGAATGAAAGTGGGAAGGAGCAGAAGTCAGCTATAGTCCCTAAAGGTGCAGGGGGCAGGCCTGTCATCTCTGCCTACGTGGACTGTCTCTGGAGATGCAGAGATGCAGTCCCTGGCAATGTGGTCAGGCTGGACAACAGGATTTTTTAAAGAAGCGGGAGTGCTCCTTGTCCCACCCATGCTGTCCTACCTTCCCACCCCCAGCCTTTTCACTGTTTATCCCACAAGACTCGTTATACTTTACAACCTTCAAAACAACCGTATATTTTATTATGCCCAACCGTGGTATTGCTTTCAAGTCAGATATTTTGTGTGTTCAGAAACTCCCTGTATATTTTTGAAGATATATTTAGTAATCTGGGAAAAATAATTTAAATTTTTTATTTATTTATTTTTTATTGGAAAGAAAATTTGCAGAAGGGAGAGAGAGGAAGATCTTCGGTCTGCTGGTTCACTCCCCAAATAGCTGCAAAGGCTGGAGCAGAGCCGATTGGCAACCAGAAGCTTCTTTCAGCACCCACACGGATGCAGGGTTCCACAATTTAGGATCATCCCCTGCTGCTTTCCCAGGCCACTAGCAGGGAGCTGGATGGGAAGTGGAGCAGCTGGGACAGTGCCCATAGGGGATCCCAGAGTGTGCAAGGCAAGGTTTTAACCACGGAACCATTGTGGTGGTCCCATGAGAAAATAAGTCTATGGTGATGCTTGTTTATTAGAACTGCTTTTTAGGGTCAGTTTTTTAAGAAGTTAGAAAAGTTTCCCTACAGCTAAGTTTCTCCATTACTGAAACCTGTGCAATGGGAAAGTTCTTTGAAATATCCTATTAGTGGGACCAGCATTGTGGGTAAAGCTACTACCTATGACAGCAGCATCCCATATAGACACATGTTCGAATCCCAGCTGCTCCATTTCCAATCCAGTTCCCTGATAACATACCTGGCAAAGGCTGAGGACACAAGTGCTTGAACCCCTGCAGCCATGTGGGCATCCTGGCTCCTGGCTTCAGCCTGACCCAGTTCTGGCCATCGTGGCCATTTGGGGAGCAAACCAGCAGATGAGAGACTTCTCTGTGTCTGTCTGTCTGTCCTTCTCTCTCTCTTTCTCTTTCTGTAAGTCTGCATTTCAAATAAATAAATCCTTTTTAAAAAAAAATCTTGTTAGTAAAGTACCTAATTCATAACTGTTGAACATAATCTCAATTTTTTGTGAATAAATAATTATGCTCATGCTACTCTTGAATCAAATTGTGAAATCTGTCACTCAAATTTCTTAAAGGTAAAATCTGTTTATCTTGTATATGTAGGTTATTAATAAGGAGCAAAATGTGAGAATATGGTGAGAACAGTATTAAGTTTACCTTGAATTAGGACACTCAGCTTTGAAATTGTGCAAGAAGCTATTTGCTCTAATCCTTTTCCACTGTATTGATATTTAAGATTCACAGTCGATATGAAGGCAAAGATGTTTCCAAGCACAAACGGAATTTGGCCATAGCTGGTGGAGTAACATTGTCTGTAATTGTATCTCCAGTAGTAGCTGCAGTAACTGTAGGTAAGAACATATTTAATACTGAAATTTTGTCGAATGAGTTTTTTAAAAATGTATAGTGACGTGCTTTGTTGAAGATAGGAGGGTTACTTACTTATTAACAAAAGCCTACAGAAAAAAAATCTCTCCTTCAGCAACTGATTTGATTAAAAGGATTATTACTCAAGAACCTAATTCTAGGGTAATTGGTAAGTTACCCTATCAATTGTTTGTGGCAGATAATTTTTTCCCTCCACATTTCCATCTAGCAAATACAGTTCAGAGAACTGACACTGGAAAAAAAAAATTGGCCTTTTCCTTGTCCCTGTGCTTTATGGTGTCAGCTGGAAAGTTGGGCCCTTTGATTTACTTATGTTCCCTATTAGATGTGGGTGAATCCATGTGTGGTATATGTCCCACTCAAATCTTTAGAACCCTCACACTTTGAAAGCTCATATTTCTGTGATTTAATTTTTGGTTTATAACTAACTTAATTCTTCTTTTAGGTATTGGTGTTCCTATTATGTTAGCGTATGTCTATGGTGTTGTTCCAATTTCTCTCTGTCGAAGTGGAGGATGTGGAGTCTCAGCAGGAAATGGAAAAGGTGTCAGGATTGAATTTGATGATGAAAATGATATAAATGTTGGTGGAACGAGCACAGCTGTGGGTAAGTCCTTTAAGTAAAAGAAGGAAGTATGCTTAATGGATAGCGCAAGTGGGAGGAGGCCATAGAGAACACACAAGTCAGACTTTCCACTGCCCTCCTTTTATGAGGTGTGATAATGTTCATCCAGAAGCATGTCAGTGAAATGAACTGGCAAGGCAGGGTGTGTGGATACAGGATGTTGGAAATATTCTGAGTACGTAACTTCCAAAAGGAAAATGTGTTAGACATCGTAACCTTTTCATTGGAAACACTATAGAAAAGGATATGAAGAGAGGTGTAATTCATAAAAGAACATACCTAAACAGCTAATCATTTTAGAAATTCTTCAACCTAACCTTGTGCAGAGAAATGTATTAGAATAATAGCTGGAAGAATACAAAAAGGCCCTAGTATCTTACAGTAGAATTGTAAGTTAATGGACCTTTTATGAAAGTATGTACATTCCATATTCTAGCAGTCTTATTAAAAGAAACCTGTTGTAAGAAAATCAGTTGGCAGTTGTGCACAACTAATGCTCACTTGCTTACCTCCTGCTCTTTCCTGAGTTTGCTTCAGTCAGATTTCTGTCTTCACTCCCTAGAATTTCCTCGCTGTCATTCCACTGAGGCAGAATTGCCCATGGCAGTGTGTTCCTATATACAGTGGTTCATTCTCAGTCCCCCGTGTTATAGTAAGGCTGCCTGACGTGGTGGACAGTGCTGTCCCTCTTGAAACACTTCTTCCCTTGTTTTCTGGGGAAGCACTTGTCATGTCTCCTGGCCACTCCTGAGTTGTCTCTGCTGCTTCGTTTTCTTTTCAACATCTGAATGTTTAAGGTTCCCAGGGCTCAATTGTTAGTATTGGGACTTTTATCTGCACTCACTCCAGATAATCTCACCTGTCAGATACTGTGAGAGGCGTCCTGAGAAAAAGGTTCCTATAAATGTGTATTATGAAAATCCTGTATGTAGATTTCGGCATGATTTCCCACCAGACAGCTTTCAGTTACATATTCCACAAGGTTTTTGAAGTAGTCTCTGTAAAGTTAGCATCTAGCAAGAACTCTGCGCCAACCTTCATCTCTGTGTCTCAGCCCTTTTATCTGCTTAGCTTGTCCCTAATCTGACTCTCGGCTCCAGAGCTGAAGAATCCTCACGCACAGTGACGCCTCTCATTCCCCTTCATACCCCACGTTTATCAGCAATATCTTCCCTTTAATATTTAGCCATATTCTTAACTACTTCTTACCCTCTTCACTGATTTTTTCATTGGTCCAAACCATTGCTTTTCCCATGGAATGACATTCCCTAGGCACAGTGCATCCGTCATCCCGTCTCTGAAGCAGAAAGCAGGTGATGTTTCTCTGGTGCTCAAAACATTGAGTGACTTTAAACTGCAGTGGGACTGAAAATCCAGAGTCTGTGTCCTAGAGGCCCCGCCTGCCCTGGCCTGGGCTTATAGCTCGGCACCCTCCTGTGTTTTAGTACTCGTTGTTGACTTTTGAGGATGTTAAAGCAAGCTTCTATTCCTGAGCTTTTAAACTTGCCTGAAAAACTTTCCTTAGACACTTTCTCTTTTTTTTTTATTTATTATGTTTTTATTGCAAAGTCAGATATACAGAGAGGAGGAGAGACAGAGAGGAAGATATTCTATTCACTGGTTCATTCCCCAAGTGACTGCAACGGCCCAGGCTGTGTCGATCCAAAGCCAGGAGCCAGGAACTTCTTCCAGGTCTCCCACATGGAAGCAATGTCCCAAGGCTTTGGGCCATTCTTGACTCTTTCCCAGGCTACAAGCAGGGAGCTGAATGGGAAGCGGGGCTGCAGGGATTAGAACTGGAGCCCCTATGGGATCCCGGTGGCGTGTTCAAGGTGAGGACTTTAACCGCTAGGCTATGGCGCCGGGCCCAAGATGCTTTCATGGCTTACTCCTTTACTTTTATTTCTAAAAGAGCTGCATTGTCAAAGACGCCTTGCCTAATCACAGTACGTAAAATGACACACAGGCATTTATGTACAAGTGTGTATTATTACCCGGACTCCTTTGTGCTCTGCTTTATTTTCCCCCTAGCATTTAGCATGTGGAATATGTAATAGGAATCTAAATATTAGTATTAAAATTAGTATGAATAAAATAACACTATATTATATCATGTGAAAAATATTGTAAGATCAGAATATAATGTTAGAAAATTCTATAACTTGTAGATTAGAAATGGAATAGAAAAATCAGCTTTTAGCCCAAACTTACTGGTCTATGGAATAATAAAGACTTTAAATAATACCTATATGGAAAACAAGTCATACTTGTAATTTAAAACCAGACCGTCCGACACAGTAGCCTAGTGACTGAAGTCCTCTCCTGGCACATGCCGGGATCCCTTGTGAGTGCCGGTTCTAATTCCAACGGCCTCACTTCCCATCTAGCTCCCTGTTTGTGGCCTGGGAAGGCAGTGGCGGATTGCACAAAGCCTTGGGATCCTGCACCTGCATGGGAGACCTGGAAGAGGCTCAAGGCTCCTGGCTTCGGATCAGTTCAGCTCCGCTCTGACCGTTGCAGCCACTTGGGGATAAAATCAATGGATGGAAGATCTTCCATTCTGTCTCTCTGTCTCCCTGCATATCTGACTTTACAATAAAAATAGGATAAGTCTTTTTTTTTTTTTTTAACATTTTTTCTTTATTAATGTTATTATGATACAGTTCCATAGGCTCCTGGGATTTCCCTTATTCCCTTCCCAATTCCCACCCCCCACCTAGTTCCTCTATATCATTTCTAAAGTATAGTTCTTCATACACAATCATATGTCCATCATTGTGGACATGGTCAATGACAGAGAGTCCAGCATCCTATTGTTATATAGTAAACAGTTTCCTTGGGAGTCCATCTTTGTCTGGAAGTAGAAATGCATACTGCATTGTATCCTCACATCTGGATATGTTAGTCTCCATTTCATAGTTACTGTACATCCCCTTAAATGAAAAGTCACAGTACAAAATCAGCAATAGGAAGAAAAATAGAAATTTACAATGCTATAAAGCTAAATAACATGTTACTAGATATGACAGTCTCCATTACACAGCTACTATACATACCCTTAAATAAAAAGCCACAAACAAAAATTAACATCAGGAAGAAAAATTAAAAACACCAAGAAGTTAAATAACATGCTCCTAAATGACTAACAGGTAGCTGAAGAAATGAAAATCAAGGACCTTCTTGTAGAAAATGATGCTGCTGTATGATCTATGAGTCAATGAAGAATTTAATCAGAAGAAAGTGCTTTGAAGAGATCAAACTAACAAAAGGAAAAACATCAAAATTCATGAGATATAGCTTCTGCTGATTTTTGTTAATGAGACATGTCTCTTGTAGGCAACAAATAGATGGGGTTTGTCTTTTAATCCAGTCTATTAATTTATGACATTTAATTGATGAGTATAAACCATTTACGTTCAGGGTTAATATGTATGGATGGTAATTTATTCCTGTCATTTTAGCAATGGGTTGTTCATTGATGTAGTCTTCTGTTGTCATTTTACTGGGATGTTCTTCACATTTGCCTTTGGTTTTGTTAGGTGCTCTTCCTCTTCTCTGTCAAGAGAACATCTTTAAGTATCATTTGTAGGGCAGGTTGGAAAAAGCAAAATCTTTTTACTGTGGAAGAATTTTATTTCATTTTCAAAGACAAAAGAAAGCTTTGCTGGATATGTTATCCTGGGCTGACAATTTTTAGAATCTGGAATATCTCACTCCATTCTCTTTTGGCCTGTAGAGTTCCCTGTGAGAGGTCTCCTGTGAGTTTAATTGGCATTCCTTTATATGTCAATTGATTTTTTTTTTCATGTGCACATTTAGGGATCTTTTCCTTATGTTCAATTGAAGAGAGCTTGATGATCATGTGTGGTGGTGAAGATCACTTTTGGTCAACCATGTTGAGAGTTGTGTGCCCCTCCGTTGTTTTCCAATTCTTTCTCTAGTTAGGGAAATTTTCTCTTATTATTTCATTAAATATATTTGTAAAACCAGTTTCTGTTTCTGCACCTTCTGTGACTCCCATAACTCTTATATTTGACCTTTTAGTAGTGTCTTTGAATTCTTGAATACTTTTTTGGCCTGATCCAGCTCTGCTTCCAGCTTTTCGTTTGCTTCCCCCTGATGACAGGAAATATCTTAGAGTTCTGAGATTCTTTTTTCTGCTTGCTGTATTTTATTTTGGAGACTCTCCACTGTACTTTTAATTTGCTCTACTGTATTCTTAATTTCTGATATATCAGCCTTGATTTGCTTTATTGCTGCTTTTTCTTATGTAAGATATTCTTTAAATTCTTTGAACTCCTATATGTGCTTCTCATAGTTGGTCAGAAGCTTTATAATGAGTTTTCTGAATTCTGTATCCCCCATTTTCTCATTGTCTTCCTCAGTGAACTCTGATGTTAGCAAAGAGTTTTGCTCTTTTGCAGGGGTGTCTTCAGTAATATTCATTTTGCTTTTGTGTCTTCTTTTGCTCTTGATCATTGTACTTCTGATTAGCAGAGTCTTCTCTTTGGGGCAGGTTTCTAAGCTGTGTCACCCACAGGTCTACAGTTTGATTTTACTTAATTGCAATTGGCACACAGTTCTTTGATGCCACTCCCTCTAGCAAGTTCCAGGTCTGGGTTTTTATGTTAGATTTCCACCATGGTCTCGGTAGCCCCAACTCCTGGCTCACCAGTCTCCACCTCTTGTGCTGTCATGCTGAGGTTGCACTGTTGTCTGTACAACCTTTCTGAGGTACTTGTCAACTCTCATATTTATGTATCCTTTACTTTAGGTATGTTTTCTTTTCCTGTGTAATTATATAGTTTATATGGTTAGTGTTTGACCTGAAGTCATGGGGGAGTTTAAGGAGGATAGTAGTAACCGTACCTGTTTACTAAAATTCTTTGAAACATTTGCATTTAGACACAACATCAGTAGCAGAAGCAAGACATAATCCCAGCATAGGGGAGGGAAGTGTCGGTGGTCTGACTGGCAGTTTGAGTGCAAGTGGAAGCCACATGGATCGAATAGGAGCCATCCGAGACAACCTGAGTGAGACCGCCAGCACCATGGCGCTGGCAGGTGCCAGCATAACAGGGAGTCTGTCAGGAAGTGCCATGGTGAACTGCTTCAACAGGTAAGAAGGAGGCTGTTTGGGTTGGGTTGGGTTCTGCCTTCTCTTACCTAGAAATTACAAATTAGGTGAGGAGAATTCTGAACACAACGTGTGAACCAGCACCAATGAGGACTGAAATTCAGGACTTGAACTAACGGTGCCAGCCCCTCTGACTTTTATGCTTTATATTGAAACATGACAAAGCTCTGCATCCCAAATGAGAGTAATATGGCAGATTTAGTTTAAAATCTTTTGTGTTTTTTTTTTATTATTCTCCTCATATTTTAATTGTCAGATGGGTAATTTTTCCCATTTCATTTAGATGGCTGTTACCATTCAGTGTGGCTGCAATTAAAAAAAAAATTTGAACAAATCAAAGCAAGAAGAAACAAACAATAATGGTTTCTAAGATAGCTTTGCATAACTGGGTTTGCATATTCTCCAAGTGCTGACGTTACATAAGCTTTGGTTTTATCTGCCATCCCTCCTTGAAGGCTGGAAGTACAAGCAGATGTACAGAAGGAACGATGCAGTCTGAGTGGAGAATCTGGCACCGTCAGCTTGGGGACAGTCAGCGACAATGCCAGCACCAAAGCAATGGCAGGATCCATCTTGAATTCCTACATCCCGTTGGACAAGTAAGGAGAAAAGTTGTCACAAAATCAGAAGTGCTTTTAAGTTAATTTAAAGGAATTATTCTGTTCAAATTAGATGGGGAATAACAGTTACTGATTATTAAGTCCTTTGGGAGAAGAAAATGGTGAGATGTCTAAAATAAGCAAACAGGAAATAGGTTCATGGTTGCCAGGAGCTGAAGGAAGGGCAGAATAGGAATTGCCTGTTACAGATAGAAAGTTTTTCCTTTGGGTTGGTGGAAATGTTCTAAGTTAGATGTTGGTGATGGCTAACAAATTGCATGGGCCAAAAAAAAAAAAAAACCCACTTAACTATACAGTTTAAATGGGGCAATTTTATGATATATAAATTACGTCACAATGGAACGGTTCTTAAGGGGAAAAAAGAAACATGGAACCTGAAACAACACAAGCAGTAAATGCATGTATTAGTTTAAAAAAAAAAGCAGCAGCCATATTATGAGTTTTTGCTACAACATGTCCTTCATTAATGTGTTCTGAGAGCTTTTATATAAGCTCTGCATTTTTCACACAGAATCTCCTCTCCTTTAGCTGTTATCTGGATAAAGATTACAAGGAAGTCACCATATATTGTTCCTCTTGTGTTCCAGAGAAGGCAACAGTATGGAAGTGCAGGTCGATATTGAGTCAAAGCCATCTAAATTCAGGCACAACAGTGGAAGCAGCAGTGTGGATGACGGCAGTGCCACCCGAAGTCATGCTGCTGGTTCATCCAGTGGCTTGCCGGAAGGGAAATCCAGTGCCACCAAGTGGTCCAAAGAAGCAACAACAGGAAAAAAATCAAAAAGTGGTAAAGTGAGGAAAAAGGGCAATATGAAGATAAATGAAACCCGAGAGGACATGGATGCCCAGTTGTTAGAACAGCAGAGCACGAACTCGAGCGAATTCGAGGCGCCTTCCCTCAGTGACAGTATGCCATCTGTAGCTGATTCCCACTCAAGTCATTTCTCTGAGTTTAGTTGTTCTGATCTAGAAAGCATGAAAACTTCATGTAGTCATGGTTCCAGTGATTATCATGCCCGCTTCGCTACTGTAAACATTCTTCCTGAGGTGGAAAACGACCGTCTGGAAAATTCCCCACATCAGTGTAGCATTTCTGTTCTTCCAAACACTGCTTCATGTTCCGAAGTTCCACAGTTGGGTCATATTGCTGAAGAACATGGCAACAGTGGAATAAAACCTAACGTTGATTTGTACTTTGGTGATGCACTAAAAGAAACAAATAACAACCACTCACTTCAGACAATGGAATTGAAAGTTGCAATCCAGACTGAAATTTAGGCCCATAAATGCTGCAAAATAAATATCGCTGAACAACATTGTTTGGAGCTGGTTGAATTACGTGTGACTACTTTAAAGTTACCATCAAAATCCAGGTTTCATAATCCTGTGCATTTTCTGTGTTCAGCAAAAGCATTGTGTTTTGTGTGGGTCATTATTACCAAACTATGAAACGAAAGGCTTTAAAAGTGCATTATTGTAAAGATAATTTGTAAGAGCAAAGCATGTTCTGTGTGTTTAACACAAAACATTGCTTGAAGCACATATTTGTGTCTTTAGATAGAAGTTTGGCTTTATTTATAATCAATATAAAATACTAATGGAGTTCTACAGCATTCTTATGAAGAAGAGTTGAGGATTGCAGATCAGTGGTTAGTGACATTTTATTGAAACCACTAAGGGATACTATGTAAAAGAACTTTGCAGGTTGCTCTGGTATGTGATATGTTTTGTAATATTTCTGTTCATAACTGGTCAAAAAAGTAACTGGTCAAAAACCATTTTTCCCTTCATCTGCAATGTGGATGTATAGAGAGAGCTTAATGCAGCCCATTTGCAACCATTTGGATACTTAGATACTTTGAACAAGACTGTGGCAGCGTTTGCACAACTTTGAATAGAAATACTTGGTACCCTATATATCTTGTATCTTGTTGATGTCATCTTAGAAGAAAAATATAAAGGTAGGTAATTAAATATACTGACAGCAGCAAATAAGATATATTAAAACTGCAAAAATAAAACCCCACTAGGCTCTAAGTATTACAAAAAACCCACCTTTTTATTGAGTGCTGATGCCTTTGGAATAAAGTGGGCTTTGCAGGCCTGGTCTGAGGATTTTGCTATATTGTTTTCCATAATGTCCTATCACCTTGGATTATATTGAAAAATACAAGAAATAGATGAACTTAAGTGTGATTAATAAAAATGCTGAAACAGTATTAGCCTACCAAAGACATGCTCAGCCTCTAGTGAATAACATAATGCCACATAACCTCAGTTTTGAGCACATGTATATCTTCGCCAACCCTGAAAGCAAAACTTGGAGCAGAGCCTATACCAAGGCCCAAAAGGCCTGCTTGGTTGGCTGTTTTCTTTTGCTTTTGTTGCTGGAAGATGCTCAGTTGACATAAGCAGAAGTTGGCCAAAATACTATTCTATTAACTTCCTGGTATAGATTCTGTTAAAGCAGGTGAAACTCAACTATAGCAGTTTACAATGTCCCATCTTACATGTTTAAGTATTACCATTATGGTGCTATGGAGCATTTGCTTTTGATAAAAAGAAAAATGTCATGGGCTGCAGTCTTTCTTCACTTCTCTTCACCAGGTCCAATAATATGCTTATAACACTAGTGCCAGTTATTTTATTTGATAAAGCTTATTATGTATTTGTATATTTGTTTGCATTCCAATCTTGTTCAATAATGAGTGTGTAAAATGCCTATGAAAAATAAATGTAAATACTAATGTACTGATGCCGTGCATGATATATTTATAAGAATAAGAATGTCCATCTGATACATGGTAGTAATTTTAGATATAAGAAGACATTGAAATGATCTTGCCTTCTCATCGCACCTGTAAGTCATGCCTTTTCCTTCCCAGGATTCTTCTATTCATCAGATTTTCATTTTTCAGTGAGCTGGTTGAATTTAACCACAGTAAGTAAATCATTACATTGCGAAATGAGATCTGTATTATGAATTCTCATCTTAGAAAAGTAAAAAGATCGAAAGGATTGTTACAAGAGATACTATTCTGGCAACATGAGATGTTAAAAATGAAACCATCTGAAATCAAGTTAGTAGTAATCAAATGCTTTCAATTGTAACCTTTATAAAATGAATAGTAGATGGTTTTTCTGTTTTCCTGGTACTTGATATAAGGAAACTTTAGAAAGTGTGTGGGAAAATGGAATCAAGACATGTTTTGGTGCAGATTTTTTTTTTTGAAAGCCAGGCAGTTTTTTCATGAATGCCTTTTCCGTGCATTGTTACTGTGTCTCATGAAAATAATGTTGAGTGCCCTGACATTTCTGTGATGTGTAAAGATAAAACGGAAAGTGGTAGGAATACAGAGAAAGTGGTGTCATGTGGGTGGCCAGTGCATCTGCTTTGCTGCATCCCCTCTTCCTTTTGCCCTAACCGGTACCTCCTCAGTCTCACCTTAAAGTTCTAGGTCTTTCAGTTGACTCTGAAAGTTGCTTGTCACCCGAGATTTGTTAACCTTGCCTTAATATAGAACCATGCCAGATTGCCCTGGAGCTCAACTCTGGGCTAGACTAAAATAAGGAATACCCCAGGGTATTCAAAACCCGGCTAGACTCACTGAAATCTTTTTCGGACCTGTGGTACTTTATTTTTCTTTAAGGTCTACAGGAAAAAAAAATCACATGGTAGTGAAAGAAAAAAACACATACAACAATATGGCTTAAGTGTACAACACAACAACTTGGGAACACAGAATTTCAGTTAACTTTTTGCTATATTCAAATTTACATGATCCATCACTCATTTTTGTTGGAAATTGGATTAGATTATAAAAATATGAAACCTTTTTTAGAGCATATTAGTAGGTATGTTATAACTGTCAGAGCTATTGATTCCTATTTGGCATGATCAGATAACTCCTGATTCACAAATGATTTTGTCTTTCCATTCAGAAACCCTCAAAGCTGCATTTCAAATGGTTCCTTTTAACGGGTTGTCTTGCTTATTCATTACAGAATAACATTGCTAAAAGCCACTGACTGTATGTACTAGGTAATTTTGAATGTCTGAAATGGTGTTCTCGACTTGTATAACAATCCTTAAGTGAAGAGTGAAAGGAAGTTTTTGGTTTTAGTTCCAGATGGAATCACTATGCCTTTTGGTCAATTTTTGTGAGTTCTACCAGTTCTAGTTCACTCAGTAGAGTTACAAAGTAGAAGCTGAAGATACAACTTAGTACCAAATAAACATTCTGGCTTCAAGGAGCTTTTGTCACTGTAAAGAGAAAGACACAAATAAAAAGCAAACAACGGGGTTAAAATAGTGTCATAGGTGCTATGACAATGAGTGGGCAATGGGAACAGAGTGGCCGAGGTAGTGGGAAGATCTGCTGCTTTAAACAGGACAGACAGGAAAGTCTGCTTAGAGGGCCTTTGAACAAAGGCACGAAGGAGTGAGGAAGGAACTGTGTAGACCTATCTGCTCAATGTGCATTTCAGAAACTGGTCTGCTGATTGAGTTAATGGATGGTCTTGAAATTTGAGTTTGATATCTAGTAGGTCAAATCTGCCACCTGTTTTTCTTAGAGAATGTCTCATCTGTTCTTGGCACTTCACATTTCCATAACAATCTTAAGGCATTCTGCCAGTTTTGAGATTACATAAAATCTGCAATTATCCCTGTTAAAGTCTTTCACATTATTTTGATACTTGATTTTTTAAATGCTGTTGGAATGGTTTCTTTTTAAAATGTCGTTTTTTAGTTGTTACTAGTAATTAGTTGTTACCATTAATTTTAGCATTAATGATCTCTGTCTGGGGTCAGCATTGTGGTGCAGTAAGCTAAGCTGCTGCTTGGGCTGCCCGCAGCTCATATCCCAGCCCAGGGCTGATTTGAGTCCTGCTCTTGTGCTTCTCACCCATCTTCCTACTGATGCATTCTGGGAGGCAGCAAATGATGGCTCAAGTGCTTGGACCTTTGCCACCCACATGAGCCATCCTGTTGGAGTTTCTGCCACCCCCCATGGAAGGCTAGGAGTGCCACGTGCTTGTGGGCATCTGGGGAGTGAGCTAGTGATTAGGATTGTTTCACCCTGCCTTTAAGTAAATAGAACAAAATAAACATTTAAATAGAACATGCCTTTTCTGTCTGTGAAATACCCAGTTATCTTTATTGAAGAACCAATGCCTTGAAATGCCACTTTGTAATCTGAATACACTAACTGAATGGCCCTGTGAAGGGGGTGCACTTAGCCCCATGTTCAACATGAGGTAACTGAGGCACAGCAGCGTGCATTGCTTGGCCTAGAGTTGAACAGCTGCTAAGTCACAAAGTTAGGATTCAGAGTGTTGCATTTCTCTGGATTGTGAAATGGTGTTGTCTTCTGGGTCCTTAGCCCTGGCTAGGTCTTCCAGTGCGTGGTGCAGAATAGCAGTGACTGAAGGGGGTGGGTATTGTCGATAACTTACTCTCAAAGGGACACGTTTTAATGTGTTGGCTTTTAACTGCAACATTTGGTGCAAATAAGTTTTCCAAAAGTTCATGGGAAATGCATATTATGAAAAAGTGCATGGACTTAACATTTTATGCTGAAATAAACTCTATTTCCATTAACTTCCTGGAGTATTAGTAAATGAGGTAAACTTCTACATTTTTAATTTGTCCAAAGGCTCTTTCCCTGGAAAATGTTGAATTTTATTGGCTACTCTTAATTGGAGGAAGGGGGCATCTGTCATGATTTATTTCCTATAATGAATTTTTGTTTTCAAGTGTTAATGTGGGATAAACTTCATTATCAGAATGTGTGGAACCGGAATGATGTCTTCCTTGAACACCTGGTAAAAACCGTGGCCAAGGCTGCCTGGGTTTGATGTACAGCCAGGTTTTTAGGGCGCGTGAGCACCACAGTTGGATCTATGTAATTTGAGCAGTAAGGAATGATAAGCACATTCATCTCTAAGAGTTTATTTTAGAATGTTTGGGCTACCTTTTGACAATATACTCCTGCAATAACTTTTTTTTTTTCTTTTTGCCTTCTAGCCTTTTGCTTGCAGCTCCCTGAAGCACTTATTTCTATATTCACTGCATGAGGCCATTACAACTTAACTATATTACACAACGTACTGTCTACCAGGTACCTTGATCCTTAACTCTGAACTAAAAATACTAGGAAACTAGAATTTAAATAAATAAAACAGGCTTGTGAAATCAGGATATTTTCTTAAATATTCTCAGAGGTATGACAGCCACTGTAACATTTTTTTCAGTGTTAGTATAGCCAAGAAACTTTTGCTTTTGTGGGCCTTTTCTTGTTTGTTTAAAGAAAATGAAATGCTTTCAGGTAGGTAAAAGTTGCTTCAGAGATAACTAATAAACTGATGTAAAGACAGCTACTGTTGAAAGTCAGGTATACAAAGAATTTATTTCCCTATTTCCTCCCTCTTCCTTTTCTTTCCTGTTTGCTTTAATCCCCTTTCTAGTCCCTTCTGCCTATATTATCTTCTCCCATAACAAATGGAAACCATCAGATATTTATTATGGTTTTTGACATATAGTCACTTTGAGTTCATTGATTGTTTTCTGGATGGTTCTCAATAATACCTTAAGAAAATCTAAGTCAACCGTGTAGCTCTCCTTTTGAATAACTGCATTACAAATCTAAGGGATACACAGGTGATAGTTACTCCAGCTGATGAGCATTCACTGTGTTCTGTTTCTTCCTCACTGCAAAATACTTACACCTAAGTACTATTTTATGGATATTTTTAATGACAGGCCAACAGGTGTTGTTGCCCTGCCCAGCCCAGCTTGGTCTGCTCCCAATCCCAGCTCTCATGCTCACCAGTAGGAATAATGATCCAGCACAGATTAGTGGAGAGAAGAAACAGACAGATCTTCAATCCCTTGGTCCACTAACAAGTAGCCACAATAGCCGGAGCTAATCTGATCTTAAGCCAGGAGACAGGAGCTGCTTCTGGGTCTCCCATGTGGGCACAGGATCCCCAGGATTTGGGGGAAGTGGAGCACCCAGGGTATGAACTGGTGCATAAATGCAATGCCAGCACTTCAAGGTGGAACACTGGCCTGTTGAGCAACAACTGGCCCCCAAAATAATCAAATCTTTAAAATCTTTTTTAAAAAAATAAAGGAGATAGAAACTGCTTTTCAAACAACATAAGTATCTTCATCTAACTATTCAGGGAGACACACTGAAATCCTTCTGATGAAAATACTATACCTGGGCCCGGCGCGGTGGTGCAGTGGTTAAGGTCCTCGCCTTGCATGCCCGGGATCCCATATGGGCGCCGGTTCTATCCCGGCAGCCCCGCTTCCCATCCAGCTCCCTGCCTGTGGCCCGGGAAAGCAGTCGAGGACGGCCCAAAGCTTTGGGACCCTGCACCCGCGTGGGAGACCCGGAACAAGCTCCTGGCTTCAGATCGGCATAGCATGGGCCGTTGCGCTCGCTTGGGGAGTGAATCATCGGATGGAAGATCTTCCTCTCTGTATATCCGCCTTTCCAATAAAAAGAAAGAAAGAAAATACTATACCTGGAGAGGCAGCCACCTTCTGGAATCAGTGCTGTTCCTGCAGCTGAGGGTGAGGGATGACTCCGCAGGCTAGGCTGCACAGAACATCCTCAGGAATGATAGGGACCCCTTAATCACCTGTCACTGGTTAGCAGGTGAGTCCGCAGAGGCTGGGGGTGCTCAGTGAGTGCTGTGTGAATGTGTTCCTGTCTCAGGTGACCCAGCACGGAAGCCTCCTACAGCCCCACTACTGGATTCCCCCCTCATCCCCCGGGTGTCATGTGTGCTGGTTGGGTGCTGTGGTCCAGTCTGACATGGCCCACCTCACCTCAGCATTTGCCAGTGGGTGCTATAGCCTGGCTCACCCTGGCCCAGTCTGGCCCACCCCCAGTTCCAGTTCACACTAGTGAGGTCTACTGTCTAGCCCAGCCCAGCTAGCCCCTAACCTCGACCCTAATGTGGACCGGCTGGTATTGCAGCCCGACCTGGCATGACCCATACCTCATTCTGGTTCTCAGATTTGACAGTGGGTAATATGAACTGGCCCAACCTGGTTTGCCTCTGACCTAAGCCAAATATATGCTGGTGGGTACCATTCCCTGGCCTGGTCTGGGCTACTCCCTGTCTTCGTTCTTGTGTTCACCTGCAGGGAATGTATTCTGACAAAGGAATTTTCCAAGCTGCTCCATCAGGATCTCTCCTAATGCCAGATCTCACGCACACTGGTAGGTCCATGGACCAGCCCTATTTAATCCACTTCCTGTCCTAGCAGGAACAGTGAGTGGCCTTTCCTGAGAGGCCCTCACCCATTCCAGTTCTTGTTGGGTGCTACAACACAGCCAAGCCTGGTCAACACCCAAACACAGCTCACTTGCAGCTCTGCAGGGACAGGGACCTAACCCAGTCTGTCCTAAACCCACCCTGGCTCTCCCAAGCTAGTCTAGCCCTGTCTGGCACATCCCAGTTCCAGTCCACACCTGTGCTGAGGGACACTGTAGCCACATCCAGACCAGACCACAGCACCACTCTGGTGCTTGCATTCACCAGTGGGATGCACAAACCAGCCAGGGTGTCCCCTTAGTTCCCCAACCAGGCCTGATCCCAGCCACACATCTTGCACGTGCCAGTGGTTGCTCTGACCCAGCTTGGCATAGTCTTGGCTTTTGCCCTCAGATACTGTAGCCTGGCCTGACCTGGCCAGCCCCCAGTTCCAACTCTTGCTGGTGGGTGCTGCAACCTGGTCCTGCTCAGTCTACTCCCATCCCCAGCTCATGTAAACCAGTAGATTTGATAGCTTATCCCAGCATGACCTGCATTCCAGCCTGGTTTCTGCACTCACCAGTGGGCTAGGTTTACTCAGCCCTGCCCGGTCTGCCCCCTTCCAAAACCAACTCACACACTTGCCAGCGGATGGAGCTACCTTGCCCATTCTGTCCAACACCCAGGCCTGGACCATGTGCTCACCAGTGGGAGTTGTGGCCCCCCAGGGGAGTTGCCCAAGTTCCCCTACTCAGCCCACCCCCAGACCCAGACCTCATGAATGCTAGCAGGTGCTTGGGCCCTTATCTGGCATAGCCTTCCCCCACTGTCCTGGTCTTTTTGTGAACTGGTGGATGTTGTGGCCCAGCCTACTCCACACCCTATTTTAGGGTATGCATGCACCCTAACTGTTCCCAACTCAGTACCCATGAGTGGCGGGTTCCATGGTCATGCCCAGCTTGGCCCATCACCACTCCAACTCTGAAGCTCTTCAGTGGGACTTGTAATTCCACAGGGTAAGGCCTAGTTATCCCTGACAGAATCTATCCCCAGACTTGATTCTCTTGCATGCTGGTTTGTATCATGGTCCAGCCTAATGTCACCTGTCTCATGTTCCCACACTCACTGTCAGGTCCTGGGATCTAGCCCTGCCAGACAGGCCCCCAGTCCTAGCTTTCATGTGGGTTGGCATGTCGTGGTCAGCAATGATCCATGCTAAAAAGTCCAGCTCAGGTCTCCCATGTGGGCTGGTGCATCGGTCTGACCCAGAAAGGTCTTCTTGTCTCTCCCCTCCAAAACACCAGGTTTTTGTCCCCTCGCTTACCTGTAAGTACAGTGGCCTTGTTGGGAGGCCCTCAGGAGTCTTTCCTCACCTGCAAGGTACTCCCATGGCAGTCTTCCCTTCCCCAGATCCCCTTGTTTCTTTCCCCATTCAATCCATAATCCTTGTGCCTGGGAGTACATGGGTTTTCCGCCAGGTTTTCAGGAGCCCAGTGGGTGGTGTGCTGATCCAAAGCTCTCCTGACCCACCAGAATCCTGGGCTCCTGGCACATGGCTGGGCTGGTGCCCCACCCCTCCACACACCCAAGATCCAGACCCACTGAAGTTCTCCAGGCCTGGTCCTCCAGCACACCAGGGCAGCATGCTGACCTGGGGCGCTCTCCTCGTCCAGGACGAAGCACATGAAGGAATCTCCAGGTTCACTCCGTCTGCATAGAGGTGAGCTCCCCTGTCCCCACATTCCCACCAGTGCTATACAGTTATCCCTCCCCACCCCAAGCCCGCACTGCCAGGCTCCCACAGGCTCCCTGCCACCTGCCCGCCGGCAGTGTCGCTGACGCAGCAATCAAAATCTAACTTTACAATAGTAAACACATTTTAAAAAGAAAATATGTAAAAACAGTGAATTTCAAAAAACTCTACATTTTCTAATTACATTTTCCTTGAATTCTGAAATACCTCCATAAAGGAAAATAGTGGATCATTTCTACAAGTAAACTCCATATATAGATATGGTTCTAAAAGAATCTATTAATTTACTTTTCAGGAAAATTTAATAACACTATAAAAGAAGAAACTTTTTAATTCAAAATATAAAATACCCTTTACTGATTTTTCATTTAAAACAAGGGAACAGCTTAAAGAAAAATTGTACTTATCAAGAGGTTCTATATGACTTTAGAAATATGCCTTAATTATAAGATAAAGGGAATACAGAAATAATTAAAATGCTAATTATGTACTAATGAATAAGAAAAAATGTTGCAGAAAGGGGGAACTGACTATAGACTAGGGGATGAATGACAGAGATCTGAGCAGTTTAAGAAATACCCTTTTAGTGTAACTCGGCAGAGGAGCTTGCAACCTGAGCACTTCAGTCAAGGAATAAACAATGCAGTCCTGAAAGCAGAGAGGGGGAGCATTTGATATACGGAGAAAATGACAAACACAGATAATGACACTGTGTTTTGTCTATATAAGCAAGATATATAATGAGACAGTCGCTTTAAAATTCAGCAAAAAGTGGCATAAGATTTTGGCAATTTTTGTGAATTATTAGGCAATACTTCTAGATTAGAAAAAAAATAAGGACTTCTTATAGTTCTAAACTAAAAACACTATTTAATAATCATTTCATGTAATAGACTTGCATGGTAGGGCCTGACCATAACCCACAAGTGTACAGTGGAATGTGTGCCACGGCAGGAGACATGACAGAACTGTGAATGACATGGCTTGGCTCAAGAAACTCAGTTCCATCAGACTTCAGTGCAAAGAACTGAGCTCAGACTTTCAACAGATGAGTTATTAAAATGTGCACTAAAAATAAAAATGTATTTTTTAAAAGTTTCAAATATACATATTAAATATAAAGATGTTGGCTCTGGTACGTAAGAAAATATTTACTGCTAATAAAAAGTAGATCATAGAATCTACACATTCTGTATATAAAAATAAAGCAAAATGTTGTACAGTCCAGTAGGCCAGGCTTTATCTTTGCAGCTCTGTTACAATACTGTGTCATGAGCGGGACTGCACACTCCCGCGGGGGAGCCAACTCCCTGGCTTCATAGCTCGTAGTGCCTCTTCAGGGCCTGCACGTCTTCCAGAGTGAAATGGCTGTTGGGTGTGTCTGCCAGGACAACAAAGAGCTCCTGGATTTGCTCCTTCTGGCCCTGGCTAATCAGCGTCAACATCATCTGAAACAAGGAGAAGTTACATTAGCCTAAATTCACATTTTAAACTTCCCACACATGCCGCCCCCTCCCTCACAAAGTACCTCTGTTCATGAAACAATTTGTACCTTACCTTAAACCTGTTTGTTTGACTCAGATATAAAAGATGCTGATACACCAGCGAGGGATCTTTATCAAGAAGATGGTTTTTCAGAGCCAGAATGAGGAGGAGGAATGTATCCCCTTCAAGTTTGTTACTCAGCAGCATGGGCAGGTCCTGCGGTGCGGTGAGGGCTAACAGGCCTGCACAGGCTTCCTGATCTTTCTTCATGCTGATGGCATTCATCACCTGGCCAAATTCGTAGGCATTGTTAGGCCTGGAGACCTGAAGTGTTGCTGCGTCTTCCAGAGGCCCACTGCTCTCCTTCCCGGTCCCGGCAGCCAGGCCGTCAGCACGGACGTCCTCCACCGTTCCCGGAGGCTCCTTGTCACTGCACTCCTCCACCTCCAGAAACAAGGAACACGGTGTCACACACAATGCCACTCACCACGTGCCCCAGGAGGCTATTTCAGCCAGTCTGTAGGTGAAAAAAACTGCCCTCATTGTAAAAACTAATTTCTTGAGGACCTGTATTTGGGTTAAGAACCTAGTTCATAAGCATATTCCTCTGTAAAGTTTTTTTTTTAAATGGACATTGACATGATTTTATCCTTAGAACTTTTCACATAAAACTATTACATGAAATAAAGACCTCTGAAAATACTGCTTTACTCCGATGTCCTTGTCATTGAACATAGAAGCAAAGTTACATATCCTTCATCTTAGAAACTTTTTCTCCTTTGAAGGAAAAAAACTTCCTGCATCTCTCCTAGTGGCCTTGTGGGGGCAATACCAGGCCATGAGTGAGATATTAGCACTCAGGAGGCACAGGGATGCAGGGCCTGCCTGTCTTCACTAATGGTAGTGGCAAACACGTGGCAAACACGGGAGCTAGCTGAGATCGCAAAGGCAGTCCCAGCTGGCTGACGAGGTCAAGTTCACAGGGTTAACGTCTGAGACAGTATGGAAAATCTCCACGGGTGTGACCTGCAGGGTACCTGGAACAGAATCAAATCTGTCAGGATTCTCCGTGTCAACCTGGGAGCAAAATATGCCAGGCACAGGCTCCCTGTGGAGTGGAAGCTGGGCAAACACGGGCCCAGGGGGGCGAGCAAAGATTGCCAGGACCAGCTATGGACCCGTGGGAGGAAACACAGCAACTCTGTCACGGCCGGAAGTGCTGTCTACGTTAGAATTGTTCTGATGATCTGACAAAAACACAACTTTAAAATGTTTATAGGGTTGACAGGAATAGGAACTTAGAATCTTCTATAGGAGCCCCCAAAGACACTATTAATAAAAGTCAAATACAAATACCTCTTGAATTTCAATTTTCTTCCTCTCCTTTTCTTTATTGAATGAGGCTGCATTTTCCTTAGGGTTAAGGAATCTGGTTACCTCTTCCAGTTCCATCTTTGCCTCAACAATATTTGGGTTTAGTTGGAGAACTTTATTAAGATCAGTTAAGCTCTTCTGGTAATTCTGAAAGCGGGAAAGACAGAAAATAATTTCCATAAATCCAGGAAAGGGACTTGATGTGAACTTAAGTGGGGTGAGAGATGAAGTGGAGTGCGGCTGAAGTTACCCCACCCATGACACAGGAACACCCAGGGCAGAATGTAAGGGCAGAAAGTTCCATCTGTATCCCTGTGCCTTACCACGTGGCAGGCACCTGTCTGCTGAGCAAATAAGGGAAGGAACGACCATCCTTACGGTGGCACCTGCTATATACCTACATGCTGAGATGGAAGGTCCTACCTAACCTTGTGGAGCTTCATTTTTCTCATCCATAAGATGAAGAGAACAAAAACTCTGCTGTTAGCAGGACTGTCCCGAGGAATGCAGCAACAAGTGGCCCAAGCCTGTAAGTGGCTGTTCCACAGGGGGCTGTCGCTGTGAGCTCAGGTTCCCTGGGGCCCTCCCAACCTGATTAAAGAGTCCTGAGTCAAAGATTAATCTTCGCAAGCATCAGAACATAATTTGCAGGGGTAAAGAGCAAAGCACAGGAACCTAAGGTCCCTGAAACATGGTCACTGCACCTGCTGGTGAGAGATGCCACAGTCAAAATTTGCTCTGACAGCCTATGTCCCAGAAATACTAGCTAGACCTATCTTTTGATTACACCAACTTGGGAGGTGGCTGAGATCTGCAATAACATACAACCTCTTTGTGTGTTCCTGACACATTAGTGACAGCACACACTGGATCGGCCAGTGGTGGTGACATTCCTAAGGCACTGCACCACATCGTTCCCCATTCCTCCAGCAAGAGGGACACTTTGAAGGGCCTTAATTAAGTGGGTCATAATTTATATTTCAAAAAAAAGATAATACATGACAGCACATGTGCGCCAAAGCCACTCAGCCGAGCACACTAGGGCAGGCTCACGTCCTAAGGTGCGCGAGTTGTGGCACGAGGGTGTGCTGAGGACGTCTTATTGCTGTTACCAGTCTATGTGCTCTACTCTTATAATAGCCTTGTGAATATTAACTTTTATCCTCCCCTAATTGTTTTTAAATTTTTTTAAAAAATATTTATTTTTATTGGAAAGTCAGATGTACAGAGAGGAGGAAAGACAGACAGGAAGATCTTCCATCCACTGGTTCACTCCCCAGGTGACTACAATGGCTGGAGCTGAGTCAATCCAAAGCCAGGAGCCAAGAGCCTCTCCTGGGTCTCCCACACGGGTGCAGGGTCCAAAGGTTCTGGACCATCCTCGACTGCATTCCCAGGCCACACGCAGGCAGCTGGATGGGAAGTGGGGCCACAGGTATTAGAACCAGTGCCCATACGGGATCCCGGCACATGGAAGGCTGGGACTTTAGCCACTAGGCTATGGCACTGGGCCCTATCCCCTATTTCTAAAATGAGGAAACTGAGGCATGATTGGCCCATTGGGATGATCACCGACAGTGGAGGGTAGTAATACACATGACCTCAAGCCCTGGAAACAGGCCTGTGGACTCCTAACCTGAAACGCAAGTCCAGCTCCATAGGAGCTGTTGTCCTCCTCATTCCTGTCCCTCCAAGCTGGCCTGATTGGTGAGGGACAGAGGCTGGCAAGGGTGAGGAGAGGGCAGCGTATAACAAGCAGGCAGCCTGAGAGGAGGGGACGGGTTCATTCACAGATGGTCACTGCGCTCCGTTACTGGGCTAGTGGCCACGAGTACCATGGCAGAGCTACCGTGCTCCAGCACGAGTTTATGTCCTAAGGGGAACAATCTCAGCAAGTAGAAGTGAATAAATCATCATAGGGGCCCAGTGCTGTGGCCCAGCGGCTAAAGTCCTTGCCTTGAACACGCCGGGATCCTACATGGACACCAGTTCTAATCCCGGCAGCCCCGCTTCCCTTCCAGCTCCCTGCCTGTGGCCTGGGAAAGCAGTCGAGGACAGCCCAAAGCTTTGGAACCCTGCACCCGTGTGGGAGACCCGGAACAAGCTCCTGGCTTCGGATCAGCATAGCATCGGCCGTTGCACTCATTTGGGGAGTGGATAATCAGACGGAGGATCTTCCTCTCTGTTTCTCCTCTCTGTATATCCGCCTTTCCAATAAAAATTAAATAAATCTTTAAAAAGAAAAAAGGAATACAATATAAGGACTGGCATCCCATAGGGGCACCAGTTCATGTCCCGTCCACTCCACTTCCCATCCAGCTCCCTGCTTATGGTTGGGGAAAGCAGCAAAACATGACCCAAGGCCTTGGATCCCCTGCACCTACATGGGAGACCGGTGTTGCCTCCTTGCTTGGAACCAGCCCCAGCTTTGGCCATTGTGGCCGTCTGGGGAATGAACCAGTGGATGAAGACCCACTGTGTACAAAGACAACAATATAATCAACCATACATATTTGTGACAATATTTACTAGCAGTAGATATGCAAAACCCATAACTGCAATAATACTTCTGACAGCTTTGGCCTCCCCGCATATCCTTTATTGGCTGGGAGTAACCTGAGGTGGCACCATATCTTACCTCCATATACCCAGTGCCTAGCACACAAATGACACTCAATAATTTGTAAATAAAGGCAAACTCAAGTTACATTTCCATGTAACAGCTATGCATGCAGGAAAGCCTTATTTAAAACAACAACAAATCCCAGCCAACAGCACACACACACACAAACCACCTAGTACAGCTGCTAGGAAAGAGAAGATCCAAGACAGTGCTTAGCTGGGTCCCACAGGCACTGCCTTTGCAACCGCCAGCGAGCCCTGGTCAGGGGGCAGGCAGGGGGCAGGCAGAGGGCAGCCTCTCCCATTGTAAAAACAGCTGTAGCCTTCCAGGATCCTAAAACTGGATTCATTTGGCACACTCCTCAGACTACTGGAGATATTAGATCAAGCTATAACAAGCCATCTCCAGCAAACAAATCATCAGTATCATCAGCTCATCAGGTTCCTCATGTCTGGGGTTATTTTTCTGCATCGTAGTACAATTTCTAGAATTCTTTCCCAGGAAAGATGAGATTCCGATCTTTGATCAGGTGCAGCTTCCAATCTTTGAGCCAGCCCAACCGGTTCAAAGAGACAGCCAGCATGAGGCAAACCGGTTCTGTTTGGACTTAAGTACAATTAGGCAGCCTGCAGCTCTGCCCGCATGGGCCCAAGTCGGCACTGCTCAGAGTGAAGAAAACGGGAAGCCTCACCTGGCGCCACAAACCATCCAGAAACTCTTCATCCAAAGCTTCTCCACCAGCATGTTGCTCACCCAGGGCCCTCAGGCTCTGTGTGTACATAGGGGGCTCCCCCAGCCCTGGGTCACATGGCCCACCTGCGGCTCTGTAGCCTGGTTGGGTGTGTGACATACACTGTCCTTTGAAATGCCTGTCAATACAAAACTCCACCACCTGCCCACCCAGCAAACCTAAGCATTTCCCCTTCGGCCATGGGCCTACAATTTAAGAACATTATCTCAAACTCTGACCTCTGCCTTAGCCTTTTCACAAAGCTGTTCCTTTTCTTCAATGCCCCCACTGTCACCTGTGCCCCAGCCTGAGCCCTGGAGTGACACCTTCACCCCCCATTCTGTTGCTGCTGCCATTCCCTACATCACATGAGCTTTTACTGTTGACTTGACTATGAGTCTGTGATCCATCCCTGCTTCTGATGTGGCTTCTGCATGCTGAAGTTCTAGGCCCTAGGACCTCAGATCGCCACCAGCTGAGTTACAATGAGTTTGTAAGGATGGACCCTGAGCTGGTACCACTGGTGGCCCTGGACACACACACACACACACACACACACACACACACACACACACAGAAGGAAGCCCATGTGAAGCCAGTATGGTCATCTGCATGCTAAGGACAGAGACCTCCAAGGCATGTAGGCCTCAGGCTCCCAGACTCCATGACCATGAGAAAATCAATTCCAGATGTCTGAGCCATGTACCCCTTCAGCACCCCTTGCCAGTTTGCACACCCTCTCTGTCCCGTGTTTCACCTTGGTGCCCTGCTACCTTCCCACTCCAAGCAGGCCCCTCTCTGGTCCACCTTCCATGCTGTCCCCAAATCAGTTCCATCATACCACCACCTACCCTACTCTGTGGTCCCCATCACTTTTAGGATCAAGTCCAATCTCCCCAGCACAGTGTACCAGGCCCCTCGGGATCTGACAGCCTCTCCATCTCCATTCCAGCCTGCAACCTGGCCTCGGGCTGT